GCTTCTTGAGCAGACGACGCCGAGACACTCAGGTCTTCCCAGGGCTACTGCTTTAGCCTTGGTTCAGGTGCCGTCTCGTGGAGAGCTACCCGCTCCTTGTCTGTTGCCCAGTCCAGCTGTGAGGCCGAGATCTACGCCGGTGCCATGGCGGCACAGGAGCTCCGCTAGCTGACTTTCTTGCTCACTGACTTAGGTGAGCGGCCTAGCTCTGCCCCGGTCCTGTACGCTGACAACAGGGCCTTGATCCTCCTTTGTCAGGAGCCTCGACTCGAGGGCAGAGCGAAGCATATTCAGCTGCGGTACTTCCTCCTGCGCGAGCTACAACAGCGCCGCCAGGCTCGCGTAGTACACCTGGCCTCCGGTGCCAACACAGCTGATATCTTTACGAAGGCGCTTGCGCCTAAAGATCATCAGCGGCACTGTGTACAGCTCGGTCTAGTTCCTGTAGCCTCTCACTTGCTAGGGCCTTGACTTTGTACTGTCCTATATATATCTATCTGTACTCAGACTGGACTTGTGTCCTCTCCCAATGGCTGGACTAGTAGTGCCGCCCTGGTCTTGTTCTTGCATTGCCTGTACTCCATTTGACTGGTCTTTAGACTCCTGTCTCAGTGGCTGGACTAGTAGTGCCGCCCTGAGCTGCTTGTTCAGGACCTGCCCCTATGCAGTCTAGGGGTTCAGGGCCCAAAATATTCTGGTGAAATGCCCTGATTACCTTGATTTTAAGGGTCATTATTTGTACTAGTTTGATTTTTCAGGGTTTGAAATTTTTTAACCCTGATGTAGAAAGTGTTCATTTTTTTTTACCCTGGCTAAATCCGGGTGTGCGCCCGGCCAACCGTGATACGTCAGGGTGGCCCGGGAATTACCCTTAATGCAAAACAGTCAAGTGCTTTACGCGTGGCATTTTTTTCCTCGCGCACCATCAGCAAATGCCATCCACATTCCTGCCACCTGCGGCATTTTGCCACCTTGCCCCACCCGCGCTGTCGAATATTCCCCCCCAGCTGTCCCTGCGTCAGCTTCTGTTAGGCCCGCTATTGGTCGCTTTGGCAGCAATATTGCCTTGGTCCCACCTGACGAGAGTTCATTGCATGTGACGCATGAACCGCGCCCTCAGTGCGAGCCGTTCAGTTCCAGCATAGATGGGACTTCGACAGCTCACGCTTGAACGCGGCCCGCGTGACTGCACGAGGAATCTCAGCTGGGTGACGACGGCTGACCCTCCATCCCTTCCATCGACTTCTTCATCCCCCCCAAACCAGACCCCAGGTTATCACCCTTCCCTAGGAGATTTCCCTCTCACTAGCTTTCTCGAGCACAACCAGTACATGACAGTCGACAATGACGACGAGCCCCCCCAGTGCCGTCCTCGTGACGGCCTTAGCATACTGGGGATCTTTCCTCTCAAGCCTGCCACGGTCGTACCACTGTCTACTGGAGGTACAGGGCAGGTCTCCCGTGATTCGCAGTCCCCCTCTCCATTGAGGTCTCGTCGTGCATTCTCGTCGCCGCACACAGAAACGACGCCAGCGAGGGGGTCGCCTCCTGCTGTCTCGTTGCCCCATGCGGATACGCCACCCTTCAGCTACCCTTTTGGGCCTAGCTCCCCCGAGACGTCTTGGTACGCTCCCGCCGCCCAGCCGTGCGCATCCGCCGGTGAAGGTTCCTCGAGTCTCCAGCACCTGCGAAGCGTAAGCGCGGTGGATACACGCAGCAGCGTCTCCCCTTTGCGTCACCGCCTAAGGAACCTCTGGCCCCCGTGGTAACACCGCCTCCTCCTCCTCCGCCTCGCAGTACCCCAGGCACCGATGCCGATACGGAGTACGACATCGTCAACCGCCGCTACGTCGATGACTGGTCCCGTCGCTTCCCGTGGTTGCGCCTCCATCGTATGAAGAACGGCCGCCCGTCACTGAAGTGTGCGATATGTCTGCGGTACGGTGACGTTTTCAGCAATACGAAATACGGAAGGAAAAGCGAGGGCGGACGCGACCTGCAGGTCGGCAGCATCCGCACACATCTCGGAACCCGAGCGCACACGGACGCTCTCGCGGTGAAAGAAGAGAAGGACTGGGAGCGCGATCGCCAGCGCACCCTCGACCGGTGGCAGGGGACGGACGCTTCAACGAAGCACCTGATTCGGTGCCTCCACATCGCCCTCTTCGTTTGCAAGGCAGATGCGCCGATCGCCATGTTTGTCGCGCTCTGCTTCTTCCTCGCTCGTGAAGGACTGCCAGATCTCCCGCCAGGAGGGGCGTACGGAACCTACTATACCGAGTAAGTTGTTTTAGCCTGCGCCTTTGAATAGTTTATCTTACTTTCATCGAAATAGTTCTTGTTGTTTATCTTGCTTTCCACATGCATCGAAATAGTTCTACCATACATGATGAATACTTACTCAGTTTGGTGTTGCTCCCCTTGCGCCACACTCCCCACAGCTACGGATTCAAGGAGTGCTTGAAGGCTACCTCACACTACCTTCGCGACCGCCAGGTGGAGCACATCCGGGCCTCCCCGTTTGTCAGTATCTCGATCGATGAAAGCACGGATAGGGTGCATGGCAAGCACCTTATCTTGTATGCTACATTCTTCAAGGGGTCGGTCGTCATGACAGAGTTCGTCACGCTCCTGACCGTCGACCGCACTGACGCGGCTTCCCTCACCGCCGTTCTCGTGCACTACCTCCAGTCTATTGGGCTGGATCTGCAGAGGATCGTCGGTGTTGCCACCGACGGAGCCTCCGTCATGACTGGCAAGAGGACGGGCGTGGTTGCCCGTCTTCGTGCGCGGATTGAACATCTCTTTTCTGCTCACTGTATTGCTCACAGGTCGGTTTGCTGATATGGTTCAAACACTCAAATCCCCTTGCTGCCCATGCATCCTATGTTTACATTCCATCTCCTTCCTTCCACCCGCCTAATCACAGGGAGTCGTTGGCGGCGAAGGACGCGGCGAACCTAAACCCGGCGCTGCAAATCGTCGACACCGTCATCCGTGGCTTCGCCGAGTTCGTCGGGCGCTCGAACGTACAGCACTCGCGTTTCATGAACCTGCAGATGGTTTTCTGCTTCACCAACCTTGAAGCCCAGGGGATATACGCCATCTGCTGGCTTGCAAGAGGTGAAGCAGTGCGCCGCTTCGCGGATGTGCTCGCTGCGGCGATTGTCCTGCTTCGAGAAGCCGGGAGCCACCTGTACGACATCGTGACGTCCTTCAAGTTCCAGTACCTCCTCTACTTCCTCGCCGATGTCCTGGCGGAGCTCAACCACCTCAACCTCCGGTTTCAACAGAGGCAGGTAAGTGGTCTTCAGATGAACCCTTTTTCATGCTATTGATACTCTATTGTTGCTGTGTTCAAACTCAACGTCAAGCCGTGCACATGTTTAGCCGTAACTGGTTAACTGTATGCTCATGATCCGATTGCCCTCCCTGTTGGCAGGTGGACATCACGGTCGTCGCTGCCGTAGTGGCGAACACGTGCAGCCGCATTCAGAGCCGCTACATCAACTGTGGTGATGGTCTTCTGTTTGGCAACAGCGACAGCGAGCTCCTCGGGGCGTTTCTCGACCGCCATGGCTCTGCAGACAAGAGGCAGCACCGGGTGTCTGGTGTGGACACCGATGGAAACCCCCAGTCCTTCGTCTATACTCTCCATGAGCGACAACTGGACGGTGATGAGACGGGCAGTGACTTGGCGTCGTGCAACGTCATTGCGCGGAAGTACGCCAGTGATCTAGTCATCGGCATCAACGGCCGCTTCAACGACCTCTACAACCTTGACGGCACGAAGCTCTTCAAGGTGAAGGCCTACCTCAACAACGACGACCTGCGCATGGCCCGCTTCACTCAGTGGCTGAGGCAGCTGGCTGGACTCTTCAGGAACAAGCTCCCTGGTAAGTTGTGTGCTCTGTACATGTGTGTTCGCCATGTGAGTTTGCCCAATGTGTTTGCACCTAAAGCATCCATGTCTCACAATCCCACTGTTGTTTACTCGTTGTCCCCCTGCAGGTTTCGACTACTTCAAGGCTGTGAGGGAGCTGTGGATGTTCACCAGCACCATGGCCTCGCAGTACAAGGACGACGACTTCTACACCGCACTGACCCTCACCCTCGACAACAACGATTGGCAGCGAGGCTACCCCAACATTCTGAGACTGTGGCAGGCGGTGGCAGTGCTGCCTCTTAGCACTGTCGAGTGCGAGCGTGGGTTCTCTAAACAGAACCTAATCAAGACCTGGGGCCGGGGTAGCCTTGGGGATGACCGCTTGGGTGACTTGATGCGATGCAGCTTGCTGGAGTACCAGGTGGACTGGTACGCTGTCGTGGCTATCTTCCGTGCAGAGAGGCACCGTCGCCCCACCCGAGACCTTCATGGGGTGAATCCGGCCCCTGCTGCACCTGCTGAGCCCCAGGGAGAGACTCAGCCTCTGGAGGAGCCAGTAGTGGCTATGTACGATGGCTTGTATAGCCGCAGCTAGGGTACAGTACTGTTGCATGCTGACATCGAAGTAGCTGTAGGTAGGCTAGCTTAATGAAAGTATGTAGTCGTAGGTAGGTAGGCCATGGAGAGATAAGTGTGCATGTTAACTGCAATATTAAAGTGTACGCTCAATTTTACTGCAATCAGTGTGCGTGAAAAAACACCCTGAACAAACAGGGTGCGGAAATTTTTAGGCTGCAGAATCAGACTCCAAATAGAAGTCACCCTTTACGTCAGGGTGTTTTGCTAGGCAAACCCTGATTCCAAAGTGTGCTCTAAAACCAATTTTGGGCCCTGTAGGGGTTGTGTCAAACATGTGTATCACTGATATTTGTGTAGACTATATAGGGTCATCTCTTAGAGGGTACAACACTTAGGTTTATCCTCTTGTACTCTCTCACTACTCAATCAATTATTCAGTTTTGAGACCTATTCGGTGATGTACCTGTTCGAGTTATTTGCGCTATGCGTTCTAACCGCTAAAAGGGCGTGACTGTTCGCGTGACTGAAACGACTTGCTGACGTTACCATCCAGACGAGCGCTGTTTGCTGACGTCATTCTACAGATGCTAACAACAGTGTAACTTGACAATATCTATCGAGACAACTTACAGAAGTACGATTTTACCACAACTATAAGCGCTTACCAAATTCCCTAAGTGCTCTAGTCTGTTAGTATATAATGCCCAGAGCATACGCCACATGCACTCGTGAGGCACTTCGCTGTATGGTCACCCCATGCTGAAGTGTGGCTGGGTGAAGCAGCAGATGCACACATGCACGCGGTGCTGCAAGCAAGGATATGTGAGGCGTCCGTGCGGCCCAGCCGCTACTTGTCTCCACTGGTTCGCACAGCTTTGGTGACTCAAGGGTTTGGCCACACGACTAGAAACATGCAGGTCGCAGGAGCAGCTAACAGGGAGTATCAAACGGCGAGCCGAGGCATGGCCTGCACGGCGCACAGGCACACAGGCACAGACGAAGCAACGGGTTTGATGGGAGGGAGGGGTGGAGAGTGACAAAGCGGGCGCGGGGCGAGGAGACGCACACGCACAGCAGCACCATCGTCACATGGGGGGGACAGCAAGGGCGCACACAAGAGGAAGCGGGAAAATGCTTGTGCAACTAGATTACTGGCTGGAACAGGTCGGCAAAGATACAGCCGTCAATCCCCACCCCTGCTTGTCCCTGGTAAACATCCGTGTTTAGAATCCTGAGGAACATCCATGGGCAGCAGCAGCCCGAGCCAGCGTGTGGCGCAGCACTCTCCATGACCCCGTGGAGCAGCGGCGCACACTGGTCCGACGGAGGGCCAGCAATGGATGGAGGCACACATGGCAGCGACACAACGCTGCTATCCTCAACACATACCTGACTGCCGTGCGGGTGAGTGGTGCGCGTGAGAGGATGGGACGAGCGGAGCAACACATGGTTGGGTCATGGAGAGCATGCAGTGAAGAGCTTCACGTGCTCACCCGGCCTGTCGCCTCAAGGCATCCACCCGCATCCACACCGTCCACACGCATCCATCGCATCCACACACAGCTACACAATCACCTGGCGAGATGCTGAGCAGCCATGCATCCATCCGTCCATGGCCCCTCGCACTTCATCTGCGCGCCACCTTTCAACCTCGCGTGCCTCGCACAAGCCACGCGCCTTCACCATCTAGCCCTCCGCACGCGCATGGCGCTCACCTGACGTGGCGGCTAGAGCCACTTGGGCCAGAAGCCGTGCATCCAGTAGCCCTGCTTGCCGTGGTCCAGCAGCACCACCTGCCGCACCGAGCCCGCCGCCACGCCCATCGCCACGAACACCAGCGCGCGCTGCGCCCACCCGCTGCGGATGCGTGGCGCGGCGTGCGTGACGAAGGCGACGAGCAGCCCCACCACGGTGTACAGCGCGCCCACGGCGAAGCCTTCAGCGCCAAACTGCGCGCCACTGCCGCTGTAGAAGTAGGTGAACTTGCCGGGGTGCTGGTGGTTGGGCACGAAGAGCGGCATGCCGCGGATGATGTTGAACATGCCGCCCGACACGGAGAAGAAGTAGATCGCCACGCCCAACACGCACCACGACGCCGGCTCGTGCAGCGGCGTGCGCGTCGTCACCAGCAAGCGCAGGATGAACGGCGCCGCCACGATAGCGAGGCCGCCAATAACGAGGATCTGCGTGGAGGAGACCTTAGGCGGGCGGTCGATGGGCCCCACGTCGACGGCCGCCGCCGCCTTGAGGAACTGCGCGAAGCCGTCGGCGGAGGGCGGCACCGACTGGAAGTCCACGTCCTGCCCGCGCGTCGACTTGGTGCCCCACGGGAAGAAGCGCGCCGCGGGCAGCCCGTTGACGGCGAGCGAGTGGAAGACCTTTTCGGACTGCCCGTACTCGACGTCGCAGAAGAACACCTCCTCACGCGGCGCCTCGCCGCCCGCCAGGAACTTGCTCGCGTAGGCCTTGGCGAGCAATGCGAATTCTCTGCGAAGTTTTGGTAACTTGAGCTCGTGGTTGTCGTGCAGCTTGGCGGCGTCGAAGAAGAGGAAGAGCCCGTACGGGCGGGCCTCGCGCGTCCGGATGAACTGCGCGAAGAGGTCGTCCGTCACGCGGATCACGCCGTCCTTGGCGCCGCGCCGCAGCGCGCGCAGCTCGTCCACGCGCGAGTCGGCGAGGGCGAGCGGCAGACAGACGAGCAGCGCCACGGCGGCGAGGGGAGACCAGCGCGATGCCATGGTTCCGGGATTCAGTGGGAAACCAAGGGGAACGACGATTACAATGGCCTGAACTGTGGAGTCACACTGTTCGTCAGGCCGCGTGCTTCAGATCTCCCCTGAATTCATGCAGCCGAGCTTGAGTGATCAATGCGAGAATCAAGAAACGAGGGAAATTTACTGCCGCGGACTGTCCGCAAATCTTTTCATACTTTCGTGGACAGCCCCTACTTTCATGGACACCACATCAACCTTTCGCTTCTCCCGTGGACTCCGTCCCTACTTTCATGGACATCCGCCTTACTTCCATGGACAAGGTCGAAATCGCAGGAAATAGGCGAAAACTCAACTGTACAAAAAATGACGGGCGCTGAAAAAAAAAAACAGTGGCTTAGCGTGCGTCGCAAAGAGTCGCGCACTACAGTGACCCAAACCTACTCCAAAACAGAATCAGAATCATATTTCAAAGAAGCATTTTATTTAGAGCCTTGTTAAAAAACATAATATATGTTGGAAGTTATGCAGGGAAATTCTCCAAAAACATTAGTCATGAGAACGAAACCTTTCTTTTTGCGAATATGATGTAAACAACAACAGCAGCACTAGTCTGAACTGGTAGACAAATTTACAGAGTGTACCAATTTTTCCTTCTGAAGTACAGTTACGTAGAAACGTGTGGGTACTGCCTGCCGAATCACACGTCACAGGATTTTTTGTGCCAAACGCACCAAATGAAAACCTGGCGTGAAAGTCATGTTCCCAATTTCTGGGAGATTCTGTTTCGGATTAGGTTTGGGACACTGTAGTGCGCGACTCTTTGCGACGCACGCTGAGCTGCTGTTTTTTTTTTTCAGCGCCTGTCATTTTTTGTACAGTTGAGCTTTCGCCTATTTCCTGCGATTTTGACCTTGTCCATGGAAGTAAGGCG